CGGGTCGGGAGCCCCACACGGGCAGCCCTGGCCTCTGGAGGGGGCGTCTGGCCAGACACGGCAGTGCAGGCCCGCCGACCGGCCACCCCCAGTGTCCGGGGGCTGCTCTGGGCGCGTCTGGGCAGCTGGGCCTGGCCACAGCCCCCAGACCCGTCCCCGTGGGCCCAGCTATCCCTGAAGGCACCGCGCTCAGTGGTCGAGAGGGTGTGTCCACTGTGGGGCCCTTGGAGGGACACGCTGGAAGCAGTGGCCTCTGCCGGACACTGGAACCTGTGCGGACGTGTGGGCTGCGCCCAGCGGGCCGGCCCCTCGCCCCCCGCCCCGGCCAGGCCGCCCTGCTGTAAGCGTCCGGGAGGCTTTGCCCGCTAGGCCGGCTCCGGTGTGGCCTCGGGGCCTGGGCTCGGCAGGGAGTCCGTCCCCGCGCGCTGCCCCTCGGGCCCAGGGCTGGCGACCCCCGCAGCAGGGTCCCCGTCCTCCCTCACCCGGACCCGCTGGGCGCCCTCCCCCCATAGGGCCGGCACCAGTCCTGGCCGGGCTGGCCTCGCTGACCAGACGGCCGCTGCCGGCTCCGTCCCTGGGGCCCAGGGCCAGAAGGGCGTGTCCCGACCTGCTGCCGCCAGAGCTCGGGGCCAGCGCGGTCTGGGGCGTGCGGGCCTGACACCCAGGTGCCTGCGTGTCCTCTGCTGTCCCGTCTTGTGCGGTGCGTGGTGCTGGGGAGACACTGGCCCCCGAGGCACACGGGCCTGGGCCTCTGCAGGCGTTTCCTGGGGACACCTCACAGCTGGGCCAGCACCCTGGCTCTCAGCAGAGGGGGGGCAGGGGGCACAGGAGTCAGGTGTGTCCCCTTTGTCCAGCGGGCAGCTTGGGCACCATGTCCTTCCCGGGCTTCTGGAGACAGCGGTTCTGCGTCGCCAGGAGAGTCGTTGGGGGTGGTGACCGCGCCCTCAGCTGCTGGCCTCTGTCCCTCCGTGCAGGTCCTCGCCCCGGGACCCCACCCTCTGTGGTCAGTGCGGGAGCTGGTAGCCACGTCAGAGTCTCACTGGGGCACGTGGCCCCGGCCAAAGTGGCGCGGCAGGGGCAGCCCACCCTGGGCCTTGGGGCTCCCCAGGGCCACGCTGGGTGCAGAGCTGGGGCCTGCAGCACCAGAGCAGGGCGGCGACTGCAGTACGGGGGTGCGGGCGAGGCCCGAGGCCAGTGTGGGGCCTCAGGGCTCTCCGCAGCCTGCTGGGCAGGCCTGGCGCAGGGGGCAGGAGGGGTGTGTGCGGCGAGCTGGCGCCCGGCCCCGGCCTGCGTGGCTGGGCGGCTCCGGCTGGGCTGGCGAGGGGCCTGCGGTCAGCCTCGGGACCCCGGTCCCGGGGAGGGGGCCCAGACCCGGGGAGCTGGCGCCAGGGCTGGAGGCTCGGCCCGGGGCTCGACTGCACCCTTCGGGGTGCAGTGCAGGCCCTCGCCTGCCCGGCGAGCCGCTGACCGCTCTGGCCTGTACAGCGAGCGACGTGTGCGGGCGGCAGGTGCCTGAAGCCAGGCCCCTCGGGTTGGGGCGGCGGCCCCACGCTCGGCCCTCGGCTTGTGCCCGGTCTCCCAGGCCCGGCAGCGCGGCCTCCGTGCCCGAGGCGGGCGCCCAAGCCCAGCGCCCGGGCGTGACCCTGCTGTCGGCGCTGAGGGTCTCGGGGTGCGTGGACCCGGCTTCCAGGTGGGTGGCTGAGGGGATGCGGTGGGTGGTCCTTGCCGCCGCCCCGTTGCAGCTTCCAGAAATCGCTGGTGTCGCTGCACGTCTGTTTAGGGCGGTTGCCGGGGTGACGTGCCCGCTCCGCCCACAGCCGGCTGGGGCTGGGCCCGGGCTCTGGGCC